TTTTTTTTTTTTTTTGTAAACTGCTTCTTAAGAAAAAAAGAGTAAAAGTAATTGGTTGTTTAAAGCTGGTTCTGTTCAAAATAGTTTTCTCTGTTGTTTCTCTGAAGCTGACACACCTCTGATGCTTATAGTGAAAGAGTTGTAAAACTAGACTTGTTGGTGAAAGATCCATGTAGAACAGATCATATTCTAAAACTTTCCAAGAACTTCTTTTCCATTTCACAGAAAAATGAAAAATGTACCTGGTTCAGCAAAGTTTCGAAGAGGATCATCTCCCATCACCCATCCATTATGTGCCATAAAGAAACAAGCTTTATTTGGGATGTGCATCATAGATTCTTCTGCAGATAAGGCCATTTCTTGAAATGGAAAAGTAAAATACCTAGTGACACAATGAAAGATTAAATCTACACGGAGAAGTTCCTTGGAGAGAATTTAAATCTGCAATATTAACATTTAAACTTTTCCCCTAATGAGTAGAATAAATAAAATTAGTTTGATATCATTTCCAGAATATAAAATCCAACTATAGAGACAGACCTTTTGAGTTCCTCCAGTAGGATTTGAAAAGTGGAGCTCAAATTGCACCATATACAGCTAAATTTTAAAATAATTTTTAAAACCTCAAATTAAATTGCCTGAGATACTCTTGTTGTTTTGCAGCTGTCTCTTATGCTGCATGTTCTTAAAGTAAGGAGCTAGATGCTTGCTCAATTTCATCAACACTGAATTATTAGTGACAGGTGCTGCAGTCTGAACATTCCTTGTAAAAGATCATGTGTGAGAAACTTCATTTCTTGTGTTTGGAGGAGCCTTGTGGAAAGATTTTTGGTCATAAGGATGGATGCCTCTCTCATCAGTGGATTAGCACCTTTCTTAGGTAGCTTCTCCTCTCGGGGACTGGATTCCCTCTCACTAGAGGGGTTCACTGAGAGACAGGCTGCTCCCCACATTCACCCATCTCTTCTGCATGTGTGCACTACCCTTCTACTTTCTATTCTGAGTTGATGTGGTGCAAGGCCCTTTCCAGAAGCTGCGCAGAAGTGGGTATCACACTTCTCAGACTGCCCAGGCTCCACAACTATGAACCAAAATAAACCTTGTTTCTTTATAAATGTTCTAATCTCAGTTACTCTAAATTCCAATGACAAAAAAGACATCTAGGATGTAATCTTTCTGAAACATTAATGTAAATAACATCTATAAATAGGTTCATAGTGAGATATTTTTAAAGATTTGCATAGTAAAATACTAAGTATATTTGTAAGTTAAAATTTCTACTTTTGTTTAATAAATGTCCTGAAGTCCCACCTTAAAGAAAACATACTAACTTGCAAGACTAAATACAATTTTCCATTTTTAACCATCAATGAATAGAAAATAAAAATGAAATACCTGGTAACTAAGGGATGTTTTCTAGTGACAGGTCCTAGCTTAGGACCTTGGCCAGCCATTCGTTCATAAAACACATTTCCCAAAAGGCAATTCACTGCCTAGAAAATATTAAATTATGTTATATCACCACCAACAAAAAAACAGTATTACAACTCAAAGAGAAATAATAGTTTAAAAATAGGTCAAACCTGTTCCTGATGGTAGTGTATGAGTTGATGCTTTTCTGAATTTAATTCCTCAATTCTTTTACGAAACCAATTACAGCATTCTTCAATTGCAGCCGGCCCATTGCTAGAGCAGAAAGCAATACAAGCTAATTTAGTGGTTTTACAAAACTTACTTAAAAACTTTCTAACAAGGGACACAGAATCTTTAAATATAATCATCAGGACCTTAACTGTGGCTGAAAAACTATTCTAACTGTAAAATCTTTTACATACATGCACAGCAACATGACCTGGCACAAGATGAAGTGAGAAGATGTCATGTGCTGAAGTAGCAGAATTATAGATCATTATTTCATTATCTGTGAAGCATCTTCATAAGTAGTAAGAAAGTCATACTCGCCCAGGAAGTATACACGCAATATATTATTCTTTATTTCAAAGGACAAAGATATAACATACTTATGTGGTACGAAAGTTGCCAATGCAATGTTCATATCTATAGTACAGCCAAGCCGTTTGTATTCAGGATCCTGAATAATCTTAAGATGCTGCTTTGGATCAGACTTGGTTACTCTCCTATTTTCTGGAAGAAAGAAAAGATGATACCTCTAATGCAAATATCCACAAGGAGATTATTCAAGCATCCTTCCTGCTTCTCTTTTTTTCGTTTTGTGTTGTTTCTGAGACAGAGTCTTACTACGTAGTTCAAGCTTGCCTTGAACTCATGACACAACGCCAGGCTGGCCTGAAACTGGTAGTGAGCTTTCTACCTCAGCCTCCTGAGTGCTGGGATTACAGACATGTGCCAACATGCCTGGCTCCTGCTTCTCCTCTTCCTTCTATTAGCAACACACACACATACACACACACACACACACACACACACACACACACACACACAGGGGCATTACACACAGAGAGACAAAATATCCTTATAAAAGGAAGACAGGGATTCTTTTGGCTCCACCCTAGTCCCACTTTACTGTCTCAGTCAGAATTTATTTATTGATTGTTTAGGCTGGCAAGGACTTTCTTATTAAGCACCTTCTTTTCAGGTATATACTACCAGAAGTTTTGTTTCCTCAGGGACTGCTTTTGTTTCTAAAGTAAGTCTTATCAGCCAGGTGGGCATGGTGGTAAACAAACACCTATAATCCCACCACTTAGTAGGCTGAAGCAGGCGAATCATTATAAATTGCAAGTTGGAGACTAGTCTGGGCTACAAAGTGAGCTCAAGGCCAGCCTGAAATGTACAGTGAGGCCCGAACTCAAAAAGACAAAAAAAAATTATCAACAACCTTTCTTTGCATTCTCTGATAGAAGCACATAGCTTTGTTTTCATGCATTATTTTCTGTTTTCGTCTACAACCACATCATTTACATAATAACAAGGAGATAAAAAGGAAATAAATGATTTTGGGTAGAATTTTCATTCTTTTTCTGGAACTTTTCTAAAAAATCAGGCACTGATGCAGTACTGTCTCCGCTGTAAGTGATTTTATATTAAGTAATTAATTCATATTTGGCTTAATTTACAGATACCATGAAAACACTTATAAAACAAAGTAGAATAAAGTCTTAAAACTCAATTTCAACTGGAAGATACAATTCCTAAGGGAAATAATTACATAACACATTATAACACTCTAGATTTTTCTGCTGACTCCAGACATATAGCATTATATCATCAATAGAACCCAATTATTAAATAGTTATAATAGCCTTAATTATAATGTTACAATTATAATCAGATCAAACTAATATTAAACTTCTTAAAACTGATATGGGCAATCTGAGATAACATCAATTACCTTGGGTGAGAAGTCTTCTAAATTCCTCAAGTGCTCTGTGTTCATCTACTTGGAAGAATTCCCACAACTTAATCTTTGGATAAATATCCTCCCAAATTACTTTTCGAATGCACTGAAAAATTTCAACAGTGAAAAAAATGTATGAAAAAAAAAAATGTATGAATACAAATCTTTTCACCAAATACTGTTTATCACACTAAAATACAGATTATAAATAATTTTCAACCACATATTTAATTTGCACTTTAGAAATCTTATTACTCTGATTAGGTGTGATAGTCCTCTATGTACACTTACGTTCATGTGGTGATCATTTTCAATCAAGGCAGGGATCCCTTTTTCTCTGTAATTCCCTTCCGCAACCTCACAGGAGAAATGCCAAAGTGCTCTATCTAAAATCCAGGCAGGCTTTAAATGTGGAGAATTCACAAGATTATATGCAGATTCTGGATGTTCCTGGATCCATTTACTGTTAGTAGCTGAAAGAAAAAGGAAATACATATTTTTGATTAAAGTGAGTATTTTATAACTAAAGATAATACGTATACTAAGTATAAAAGTAAAATAGGAGTGAGTGAGATGACCCAGGCCGCGGGATCCTGAACAGACCCAGAGCACAGGCCCGGGGAGTGAGTGAGACGACCCAGGCCGCGGGATCCTGAACAGACCTAGAGCACAGGCCCAGGGAGTGAGTGAAACGACCGAGGCCCACGGATCCTCATTCGACCCAGGCTGCAGGCCCAGCAGGGAACCCTTCAGCAGAACTCCCTGCAAAGAGGCTAGAGGCAAGACTCACCCAGCTGATTCAGGAGCAGAACATCTTCCCAGAGAGACACAAAGGGTTCAACTCTAATGCCTGCAGCAGAAAGAAGT